TGGTTTCACTGGAATATGCCTAGTTTTCCCTGGTGGTTTGAGCTCCTTCTCAGAGTACCCCCCCCAGCAGCTAATTGCTACCTTTAACGTGGCACTTCATAGGCACTCACTCCCTTAATTTTATTTTCTGTGACATCAGTGCTTGCTTAGAAAGAGACAGTCTCTCTTTGATGTTCCTTCTCTCTCGTTCTCTGTCAGCAAACTCTAGAAAGTTGATGTGAGTGATGAGGCTAGAGGCCAGGGGTTCGAGGCCAGCCTGAGAAACATAGCAAGACCCCATCTCTACAAAAAACAAAAAAAATTCACCAGCCGTGGCATTGAGTACCTACCGTCCCAGCTACTCAGGAGGCTGAGGTTAGGGGGGTAACTAGAGCCCAGGAGTTTGAGCTGCCATTCCACCACTGCACTCCAGCCTGGGTGACAAAGTGAAACCCCCTCTCTTAAAAAAAAAGAAGAGAGAGAGAGAGAGAAAGATTCCCCCATTACTAAATGAGCACCAAATATGTCCTAGATGCTGGGAATACACCCAGAGCCAAATAATCTTTTCCCATAAAGGACTTACAGTCCAGTGGGACAGACAGATACTAAAATAATTGTTTTATTTTATTTATTTATTTATTTTTGAGACAGAGTCTCACTCTGTTGCCCAGCTAGAGTGCCGTGGCGTCGGCCTAGCTCACAGCAACCTCAAACTCCTGGGCTCCAGCAATCCTCCTGCCTCAGCCTCCCAAGTATCAGGGACTACAGGCATGTGCCACCATGCCCGGCTAATTTTTTCTATATATTTTTAGTTGGCCAATTAATTTCTTTCTATTTTTTTAATAGAGACGGGGTCTCACTCTTGCTCAGGCTGGTTTCGAACTCCTGACCTTGACCGATCCTCCCGCCTCGGCCTCCCAGAGTGCTAGGATTCCAGGCATGAGCCACCGTGCCTGGCCTAAAATAATTTTTTTTAAATGGTGAGACATGCTCTGAAGGAGTGGTATAGGGCAGCGGAGAGGGTGTAACGGGAGCACCTAATGTAATTAAAGAGTCAGGCCGGGCGCTGTGGCTCACGCCTGTAATCCTAGCTCTTGGGAGGCCGAGGCGGGCGGATTGCTCAAGGTCAGGAGTTCAAAACCAGCCTGAGCAAGAGCGAGACCCCGTCTCTACTATAAATAGAAAGAAATTAATTGGCCAACTGATATATATATAAAAAAATTAGCCGGGCATAGTGGCGCATGCCTGTAGTCCCAGCTACTCGGGAGGCTGAGGCAGAAGGATCACTGGAGCCCAGGAGATTGAGGTTGCTGTGAGCTAGGCTGACGCCACGGCACTCACTCTAGCCTGGACAACAAAGCGAGACTCTGTCTCAAAAAAAAATAAATAAATAAATAAAGAGTCAGAGAACTTCTCATAGGAGGTGACAGAGAGTAGAGGAATCACTGCTCCATTTACAAAGGAAGACCTTGGTGTTGTCAAGCAACTGAAAGAAGGGCCAAAAATCTGGTACCTGAGCTTCTTGGGAAATTCTGGGATGTATTTGAGACCCCATTGAGACATGACTTCTCTGGCTTCTGATGTTCTAGACCCAGGGGGTCAGCAAACTACCAGCCATAGGCCAAATACTTCCTGCCACCTGTTTTTTTTTTGTTGTTTTTTTTGTTTTTGAGACAGAGTCTCGCTTTGTTGCCCAGGCTAGAGTGAGTGCCGTGGCGTCAGCCTAGCTCACAGCAACCTCAAACTACTGGGCTCAAGGGATCCTCCTGCCTCAGCCTCCCAAGTAGCTGGGACTACAGGCATGTGCCACCATGCCCGGCTAATTTTTTGTATATATTAGTTGGCCAATTAATTTCTTTCTATTTATAGTAGAGACGGGGTCTCGCTCTTGCTCAGGCTGGTTTCGAACTCCTGACCTCGAGCAATCCACCCGCCTCGGCCTCCCAGAGAGCTAGGATTACAGGCATGAGCCACCGCGCCCGGCCCCTGCCACCTGTTTTTATAAATAAAGTTTTATTGGCACACATCCACACCCATTTGCTTGCCTATTGTCTGAGGCTGCTCTTCCACCGCAACAGCAGAGGCTATATGGCCTGCAGAGCCAGAGTATTCACCACCTGGCCCTATGTAGAGGAAGTTTGCTGACACTTGGTCTAGACCTACCCAAGAGCAAGCGGGAAGTTTGGGGTTTGGACCAGGAACTAACCCACAGCTAAGGGGGCCACGAATTGCAGGATCCAAAGACAGTGGCCAAGACTACACGTAAGGAGGTAGGTGACAATCTGGGATCTGAACCCAGGCTATCTGGGTCCTGAGGCTGTGCTCTTAACCCTCCAGCCAGGCTGGTTGTTGGAGATTAGCCTGGGAGGAAGAACAGAGAAGGGACCAGTCAGTGAGACGCCAGCAGGCAGGGGCTCCTAGACACACAGGGCTCTTGTGTGGGGTGTCCATGTCCTCATCCGCCGTGAGGCCAGGCAGGCCAGGCAGGCCAGGCGGGAGGCTGCCTACCAAGATGGCACTCAGCCTGCCAACCATCCTTCCCTTCACCAGCCTGGCTCTTATTCATCCATTGTGAAGTCATGTTTCTCGAACTTGAACGTGCACTCAGATCACCTTGGGGCCTTGTTAAATTGCAGATTGTGGTTCAGGAGGTCTGGAGCGAGGCCTGGGTCTGACAAGCTCCCAGGCACTGCAGCTGCTGGTCCGCAGACCACACTTTGAGTAGCTTAGGAGATACCTTCAATTAGACATTCCTCATCAGTCCCCCATGCCCACTGTGCCTCAACTCCTGGGCCTCCTCGAGCTCACCTTTTACCTTCATGACCGTGACACCTTTGAAGAGTGCTAGGCAGTTACTTTGTAGGCTGTCCCTCAATTTGGATTTCTCTTTCGTTTTCTCATGATTAGATTGAAATTATGAGTTTGGGGCAGAAAACCACTACTGATACTGTGTCCTTCTTAAGTCATCGTATTAAGGCGTTCAGGATGTCAATATAACTTCTTACCGTGGATGTTAACCTTGATCACTTGGTTAATGTGACATGTGCTTGGTTCCTTCACTGTGAAGTTGCTATTTTTCAGAATTTTTTTTTTTTTTTTTTTTAGAGTCAGCGTCTCACTCTGTCACCCAGGCTAGAGTGCAATGGCGAGATCATAGCTTGTTGCAACCTCCAACTCTTGGGCTCAAGCAGTCTTCCCATCTCAGCCTCCCAAGTAGCTAGGACTACTGGTGTGCACCACCATGCCCAGCTAATTTTTTCATTTTTTTTGTGGAGGTGGGGTTTCACTCTGTTGCCCAGGCTGGTCTCAAACTCCTGACCTCAAGTATTCTTCCTGACTTGGATTCCCAAAATGCTATAAATCCCAAAGTACTGGAATTGCAAGTGTGAGTCACCATGCCTGGCGGTTTTTCAGGATAATTTTTTAATGGCTATGTGGCTTTCCATTGTAGATCTTAAACATAATCAGACCCTCTGTTTTATACATTGTGTTTGTTACTTTTTTTTTTTTACTGTTATAAAGAATGCCACATCGACTATTCTTATTGGTACATCTTTGCACATACCCCTGATTATTTTGTTACGATAAATTGCTAGAAATAGAATTGTCGACACAAAGGTTATTCACATTTTTTCAGTTATGGATATCTGGAGCAGGGTTATTTGTTTGTATTTGTATTTTAATCAGCTTTATTGAGGTATAATTCAAATACAATAAAATAGACAGATTTGGAGCATATATTTCAATGAGTTTGGCAGATGTACATACCCATGTATCCACAATCCCAATCAAGATATAAAATATTTTTATCACTTCCCAAAATTTCCTGCCACCCCCTTGCAGTCGTTCTCCCACCCCCTACCCCAGGCAACCACAGATCTGGTTTCTATGACTTCAGGTCAGTGTTACCTATTCTAGGAGTTCACGTAAACCAGAATTATACAATAAATGCTCTCGTATAGACTGCCTTCTTTGATTCAACGTAGAGTCTGCGAGATTCATCCACATTGTTGCACGCCCCTGCCATTCATGGATCTTACTGCAGAGTAGGATCCTATGGTATAAATACACCGCCGTTTGTTTATCCATTCTTCAATTGACAGACATCTGGGCCAGCGAGGGGGTTTTATGCATAAGGCTACTACGAACATTGGCGTCCATGTGGACACTTGTTTTCCTTTCTCCCGGGCAAACCCCTCCTAGTGGCATTGCTGGGTGGGTAGGTGGGCATGTGCTCAGCCTTATTAGACAGGACAGGTCAGGGTTGTTTGCATCTCCATGGTCCAGCGCTGGCCACAGAAAGCTTGGGGGACTTGGCCGAGGGCAAAGGGAGGACGGGAAATGGAATTTGTCACCGGGCACCATGCTGGGTACTTTTCCTGTTCCCCTCCTTTAATCCTCAAAGCAACTCCAGAAGGTGGGGGTTGTGACTCCCATTCTATAGATGAGGAAACTGAGGCTCACAGACTCAGTTTCACAGACATCAGCAAGAGATGATTCAAACCCAGCCCCGTGTGGGTGCCCACCAGGTGTTCATTCTGCCTCCTTGGAGATAGCAGGTGACGGGTAGCAGGTGAGGCCTCACAGCCTCACCTCCACCCTGTGCCCGTCCTGGCCTGGGCCCTGAGAGCAGTCGCCTGTGGTGCCCGAGTTAGCCCTCTAGGGACAGGGTGATCTGGGTACGGGGCTGTGCCGCCACATTTGGCCTCTAGCCCTCTGAGCCATAGCGAGACCCGCCCTCCAGCCCTCTGCCAAAGGTGTAGAGTTTCCCTACCCTGCAAGGCCACCCTCAGCGCGTTGATCTTCTGGGATGGTGGGTGGCGGGTGAGGGCAGCGGGCGGCGGCCTCATCTCCCCGGCCAGATCACAGCCCCATTAGGAGCTGGCCTGAGTGCTTTCCAGAGCTGATTAATGGCCTGCCCGTGACCTGGAATGTCATTACTGCCTGGGCCGGGGCCCCCCAGCTCGGTCCTTTGGGTCTTTTATGGCTAACAATAATTGATGCTCTCTGTGCGGTTGCAGGGAAAGTTCTATCTGGTCATCGAGGAGCTGAGCCAGCTGTTCCGCTCTCTGGTCCCCATCCAGCTGTGGTACAAGTACATCATGGGCGACGACTCCGCCAACAGCTACTTCCTGGGAGGCGTCCTGATCGTCCTCTACAGCCTCTGCAAGGTGGGGCGGCCCCGTCCCCCAGCCGGGCCTGGGGCTCCTCCACTGGGGAGACTGGATGCCCGTGCTAACGCCATGTCTTTCTTATTAATTGAAGTAAAATTTGCACACCATAAAAACTAACCACTGACCATGGTAAAGTGCGCAGGTCAGTGGCATTTAGCAGATTCACAGTGCCGTGCAACCGCCTCGTACTAGTCCCAAGGCTTTTTCATCACCCCAAAAAGAAACCCCATACCCATTAAACAGTCACTCCCCATTCCCTGCTCCCCCAGCGCCTGGCAACTAATCTGCTTTCTGTCTCTTGAAATTTCCCTATTCTGGATGTTTTGTATAAATGGAATCATACAATATGGGACCTTTTGTGTCTAGCTTCTCGCACTTAGCATAATATTAATATTTCTGAGGGTCATCCACATTGTAGCATATATCAGTACTTTTTTCTTTTTTCTTTTTTTTTTTTTTCTTGAGACAGAGCCTCACTTTGTTGCCCAGGCTAGAGTGAGTGCCGTGGCATCAGCCTAGCTCACAGCAACCTCAAACTCCTGGGCTCAAGCGATCCTCCTGCCTCAGCCTCCCGAGTAGCTGGGACTACAGGCATGCGCCACCATGCCCAGCTAATTTTTTATATATGTATTTTTAGTTGGTCAATTAGTTTCTTTCTATTTTTAGTAGAGACAGGGTCTCGCTCAGGTTGGTTTCCAACCCCTGACCTTGAGCGATCCACCCACCTCGTCCTCCCAGAATGCTTGGATTACAGGCGTGAGCCACCGCGCCCGGCCATATCAGTACTTTTCAAGGTTGAATCCACCCTAATTTCTTGCCCATGAAGCTCACCATATGATACTCTTTCACAAAGTCATCTCCATAGCAACCCTTCAAGGTACATACCGATATTGCTCCCATTTTATAGTGAAGAAACTGAGACCCAGGGAGAGGAAGTTATTTGCCCAAGGTCACTCAGCTAAAGATGATGGAACAAGCATCAAAAGCAGGCAGGCTGCCTCTAAAGCCCGGAGCTTTCCGCCACACTTCCACTGAATTTGTTTTCTATCCCTCTTTCCTCAAAAATAGTATTCCTCTTAGAGGATCGCTGGAGGCCAAGGGTTCCAGACCAGCCCGGGCAGCATAGCAAGACCCTGTCTCTACCAAAAAAAAAAATCAGAAAAATTAACCAGTAGCCTGCTCCTGTAGTCCCAGCTACTCAAGAAGCTGGGGCAGGAGGATCACTTGAGCCCAGGAGTTCGAGGCTGCAGTGAGCTATGATCACACCACTGCACTGCAGCTTGGGTGACAGAGAAAGACCCTCTCTCTTAAAAAAAAAAAAAAAGAAAAGAAAACATATATACATACATAGTGAGTGAGATGTGCACCATCTAGGGGATGGTCATGCTGGAAACTCAGACTTGTGGGGGGAGGGGGGGAAAGGGTACTTATTGAAACCTTAAAATTTGTACCCCCATAATATGCTGAAATAAAAAAAGGAAAAGAAAACAGTATCCCTCTTAAATTGCACACCCTCAACTCTTCAAATCAGTATGCAGTATTTCTCTTTTCATTATTAGTACAAGTCAGGGTTTTTTTTCCCCCCCTAAAAGTAAATCCATTCTTTTCTTTATTTTTCTTTCTCTATTTCTGGCTTTAGAGAATGCAGGAGGAATTGCACGTGTTCCTCTCTGTCCCTCCTCGCAGCAGGACTAGCCAGGCAGTCCATACAGTGTCAGCCACTGGGACTGTTCCTGCTTGACTGCAGCGCTGCATGGAGAAGGATTATCAGGCCCTGGCTGGGCTCAGGGGAAGAGTGCTGAGATCGACTGGCAATGCCTGCCCTGGGCTTAGGAGGGGGAAGAGGCAGTATGTGTGCCATGTATTTGCCATCCTGGCCTAGATAGCAGGAGAGACTGTTGCTGTCTGGCTGCAAGACAAAAGCCAAGCAAAGCTGAAGGGGTTGAGGAGTCACAAATGGGAAGGACAGCCCTGCACATGTTTTGAGTCAAAGACAAAGGCGGGGAGGTGGGGGCATTGTGCAGGGGTCGTGCGAGGTCCTCGGATGCTTTTCAGCCACCACTCTGCTCTGCTTTCAGTCATTCGACATCTGTGGCCGCGTGGGCGGAGTTAGGAAAGCCCTGAAGCTTCTCTGCACCTCTCAGGTGAGTTGGCGTTAAGTGGGCCCCACTGAGGTCACAGGGGCCCGGAGCTGGAAACGGCAGCAGCCTCTTCCTCCTGTGAGGGCACGGCTCCCACAAGGGTCCGCGGTGCGTTTGTGTCTCCCCTCCCTCAAACAGAACTACGGCGTCCGGGCCACGGGGCAGCAGTGCACAGAAGCCGGCGACATCTGTGCCATCTGCCAGGCGGAGTTCCGGGAACCTCTCATTCTCCTGTGCCAGGTGAGCAGGCTCGGGCCGGGCCGCTGGAGCCTGCAGCTGGGGGACAGCAGGCCCCTTCCCCGTGACCAGCCCTCAGGGCCCTGGCATGGGTATTGGGGAGCAATCTGGCCAAGACTGGAGTCGGCCAGACGCAAGTTCAAATCTCAGCTCTGCGTCTTATTAGCTGGGTGGCCTCGGACAGATCGCTTTACCTCTCTGAGCCTCGGTTTCATTGGTAAAATGTAGAAATGCCAAATTCACAGTAGTGCAGCATCAGAACATCCTGAGTGTGAATTTCAGCGGATCTGTTTCTTTGAGACAGAGTCTCATTCTGTTGCCCAGGCTAGAGTGCTGTGGCATCAGCCTAGAGCACAACAACCTCAAACTCCTGGGCTCAAGCGATCCTTCTGCCTAAGCCTCCCGAGTAGCTGGGACTACAGGCATGCACCACCATGCCCAGCTAATTTTTTCTATATATTTTTAGTTAGCCAATTAATTTCTGTCTTTTATTAGAGATGGGGTCTCCATCTTGCTCAGGCTGGTTTCAAACTCCTGACCTTGAGCGATCCTTCCCCCTGGGCCTCCCAGAGTGCTAGGATTGCAGGCGTGAACCACCTCGCCTGGCCTCAGCAGCATTCTTGAGCCCCATGTGGGTCGCTGCATCTCCCTGAGTCATGATACCTACTTCCTAAAACTATCATTATAATTCAAGGAGATCAGCACTGGCAAGAACTAAATTTGAATTATTCAGACACAGAAGTTGCTGGTATCATAATTATTATCAGCATAATTATTATTGCCACTTGTTTTTATTATTAGTCATGGGACACCAGCCCATCGTGGAAAATACCGGTCGGTCCCTTTTAACTCCCGAAATGCATCCCTCCTCCTCGTCCTCCTCCTGACATCAGGGTATAGGTGTCAATTCAGCAAATGCGTCTGGGGTCACAGCGTGGTGTCAGACACGGGGGAGGAGGCAGAGGGCACACAGATTCTGTCCCCTCCTCTGGAAGCTCACACTCTCCTTGGGGAGACAGGCCCGTACATAAATAACCATGAAACAAGGCAGGCGGTGATAAGTGCTGTATAAGAGAGATTCATGCAGTGTCCTGGGGGATTGGGGCAGAAAGCAGTGCCTTCCAGGGAGGCTTAAGCCTGGGGACCAGAAGGCGTGGAAAGGCCCCTGGGTGAGGGGACAGGAGGCAGGGTCCTTTTTAAAGCATCAGCAAATTTTTTTTTTTTTTTTTTTTTTTTTTGCTATTTAGGGATTTTGCAGGGAGGGATTGTTTTTAATTTTATTTCTTTTAAAAATTGATAATATATTTGCATGAATCAAAATTCAAAAAGGAGATTAAGGAGACGTGATGACTAAATGCAACATGGGACCTGGGCCGGATCCCAGAATAGGGAAAGGATGTTAATAGAAATCTAGTTTGATGAAATCAGAATAAAATCTGGAGTTTATCAATAGTAACATATCAGGGTGGGTTTCTTAGCTTTGACAAGCGTGCCATGGCAATGCGAGATGGTAACAGTAGCAGGACTTGAAACCCAGTGGAGGGTATATGGGGATTTTCTGTTCTATCTTTGTAACTTTTCTGTAAGCCTAAAATTATTCCAAAAGTTTATTTTTAAAAAAAAAGTTTTAAAGATATTAAAAGGAGGCCTGTCACTATGTGTGTGTGTGTTTACATCTTTTTAAATGTTTCTTTGTTTATTTATTTATTTGTAGAGACAGGGTCTTGTTCTGTCACCCAAGCTGGAGTGCAGTGGTACTCAGAGCTCACTGCAACCCTGAACTCCTGGGCTAAAGTGATCCTCCCGCCTTTCAGCCTCCTGAGTAGCTGGGGCTACAGGCACACACCACTGTGCCTGGCAAGTTTTTCTTATTTTTTGTAGAGACAGGGTCTTGCTATGTTGCCCAGGCTGGTCTTGAAGTCCTGGGCTCAAGTGATCCTCCTGCCTCGGTCTCCCAAAAGGCTAAGATTACAGGCATGAGACTCCACACCAGGCCACTTAAAAAAAAAAAAAAAAACGTAAGTTGTACCCATGCTGCTTTTGCACCTTGCTTTTGAAGCTTGGAACTATGTCTTAAGAGATTGCTCCTTGCCCTATTGTATAGCTGCATAACATGCTATTTTATGGATAGACCCCAAATTGTTTAACCATTCTACTGAGAGGCATTTAGTAGCTTATAATCTTACCACAAATAGGACTGTCACAAATGATCTGAAAAATGAGGAGATCAGTTGCACCTACCTGGGCCCATCATGTTGATTAAATAAGTTAATTCGAGTGAGGCCTTTAGAACTACACCTGGCACATGGTCAGGGGTCAATAAATATTAGCCCTTTTGGGCATGCGTTCCATTTCACACATACACAAGCTCCTGGAAGGATAAATTCCTAGCAGTGGAATTACTAGGTCAGAGGGTACACAGTTTTGACAGATACTGCTAAATTGCCCTCCATAAAGAGTGTATCCACTTACGTTCCCAGTGCACAGCGTGACTTGGCCCCTCGCTCCCCCCCTCCACCTACACACGGCGTTATCAAGCCTCTTCTGAGCTTTGCCAATCTGACAGGTGACAAACACTATCTCAGCACAGTTTTAATTTGCATTTCCTTAATTATGAGCGTGGTTGAGCATCTTTTCATATGTTTCAGAGCCATCTGTATTTCCTTCTCGGTAGCAGGGAATGCTGGAACAAGATGTCAAGGTGAAAGTCTGGCAATCTTTGTAAGCCTCAGTCTGCTTGTCTCTCTTCCATCCTTCTCCTGATACCACTACGTCTTCCCAAAGCTGCATTGGAAATTCTTGGGAGGGGCCGGGCAAGACACCGTTGTCCCAGATCTCAGAGTAATGGCCGTGCCCGGTGCTGGGTGAAGGCCAGAAACGTGAGCAGGCTGAGCACATATCTCAGTCTTGCTCTGCTGCTCCGATCTGGGTCAGGAAGGGCAGAGATGGCTTGCACAGGTGAAAGGGCCTTGCCAATTCCTAAATGCATGGAATGAATGAACGAATGAATGAATGACTCAGCTTTAATGTTGCTTCCTCCATGAAGACTTCCCTGACTCTGAATCCCCAGAGTAGTTGTGTTTCTAGCTATGTGCTCTCTTAGATCCCGGTGGTTTTCCTTCATAGTACTTATTCCAGTTGTTAGTTGGATAGTTCGTTGGGTTGGGTTGGGTTGGGTTGGGTGTGTCTCCCCTCTGCCTAATTACAAGCATTGAGAATGGAGACCATGTCCATCTTGCTTAACAGCAGAGCCACAGTATTGGCTCAGTGAATACTGGACAGATGGATGGATGGAATGGCTGATGGGTAGATGAATAGGATAGAAGTGGATGGAATGGATGCAGGAATGGATGGATGAATGGACAATGCCCAGGTAGAGGAGTGGGTGGGTGAATGCAAAAGTAGGTGGATAACAGTATCAATGGGTAGGTGACTGTGTAGATGGCCAAGACAGATGAGTGGGTGGGTGGGTGGATGGATGGATGATGGATGGACGGACAGATGGACAGTGGGGTGGATGGACAGATGGGTGGGAACATGGACAGACAGGTAGGTGAGTGAGTAGATAGATGGGTGGGTGGGTGGGTAGTTGGGTGACTATATGAACTAACAGAAGGACAAAGGGATGAGTGGGTGCTTGAAGAGCCCACTCGGCTAATGCAACATCCTGTCTCCCCTTCAAAGGGGAGACATCACAAAGCAGAGGAGGTGTGGCTTCCTGGCTGCATCTTCCAGAAGGAATAGGCAGCCACCCAGCTGACAGCATGGAGAAAGGGCATCCCGGGCAGATATCGATGCCTATGTAAAGGCTGTGAATAAGCCTTGCGTTGAAGGTCATGTGGCATGTCAGTGACATCGAGTACCCTGGGATGGTGAGGCTGGAGTAGGAGAAGGGCTGTCACAGAAGGCCTTGGGTGCCGTGGCAGGAATCTGCAGAAGGTGCTAGGCTTGCTGACGCCTGGGCCCTGCCCTTCAGACCATGGCGAGCATCCGTATGGCCTTCAAGGCTCTGTGTGAATGGATCTCCTCTCCCCACTCGCCTCACCCCAGCCACACCAGCTGTCCTCCAGTGCCTCAAACGCCTTCAGCCTGGAACGTTCTATCTCCACCCCCTTCTCTTCACCCAGCTAACTGCTAAATGTCCCTCAGGGCTCAACTCATATGTCCCTTCCTCCAGGAAGCCTTCCTTGACTACCCTCTCTCCTGGGATCAGACTGGTCCCTCTGTTACACACCCCCCATAGCACTGTGGAACTCTCCTTCAGAGCACTGTCTATAATTAGGCACCTACTGTACACCATGTTAGGAATGAATGGGTTTGTAAGAAGCTTACAGCCCATTGTGAAGAGACAGACAATATTAAACGATAAACAGGCATGAGATAATACGTGTCACTGTCATAATAGCTGATACCTGTACAGCACCTGCTATGTGCCAGGCATTATTCCAAGTGCCGCCTTTTCTTTATTTTTTTACTTCTCAAAAAACATTTTGTTTAGATTTTTATATTATCATTTTCCTCAAACTTTTTATTTTGAAGAATTTCAAGCCTACAGAAAAGTTAAAGGATAGTAGGGTAAACGCCCTTCTATTCTTCACCTAGATTTACTAATCATTAACATTTTACCACTTTTGCCTTTTCTTGATAAAAACTTTTTCCCCTAGACTAGTTGAGAGTAAGTTGCAGACATTGCAATTTGTTACCTGCAGATACTTCAGTGTGCATGTCCTAGGAACAAGGACATACTCTCCCATGATCACAATTCCCCTAGCACTCCCAGGAAATTTAAGATTGATTTAAAATATTATCTAATATGTGGAACATACTCAGATTACTCCGTTGGCCTTCAAAATGTCCTTTATAGCTGAGGTTTTTCCTCCCATCCTGGATCTAGTCAAGATTTGTGTGCTGCATTTGGTTATCATGTCTAAGTGCTTGTAACACGTTAGTTAATCTCCCACCGAGGGGTGTATTGTCCCCATTTTACAGATGAGGAAACTGAGGCACAGGGAGGTTAAGTTGCTTGTCCAGGTTATACAGAGAATGGTGGAAGCTGTTGGTCTTTCTAATGTCCCTGCCTTTTTCTTGGCCCCCATGTTCTGTTCTTAACCCAGCAGGCAAAGGGATCATGTGAAACTGCAGATCATATCAGGTCACTCCTGTGCTCAAAGCCCTGCCATGGCTCCCTACTTCTCTCAGAATAAAACCCGAAGTCCTCACAAGGCCCATATCCCGCCATGGCTTCTCTGTCCTCTTCTCCCTTCCCCATCCCCTGATTCTCCACACTCTGCTGCTGCTCCTCCAGCACATTCCAGCCACAGGGCCTTTGCACGCACTGTCCCCGCTGCCAAGAGCCTTATTCCCCTAGATACCACCACCAGGGCTCCCTCCTCACCCTCCTGCAAGTTTTACCCAAATGTCAGCATCGCAACCCTCCCGAGCACTCCCCACTCCTCCCCCTCTGCTGTTCCATCTTGGCGCGTAGCTGCCACTAGACTAGGTATTTTGGAGATTCAGGTTGGCACCTGCCCCCCGCTGCCCGGGTGCAAGCTCCACGAGGGCAGGGGTCGTGTGGCTTGTCCGCTGCCGTGTCCCGGCTCCAAGGACCCAGGCGGAGTCCTGAGTCAGGCTGTTTGCTGTCCCACAGCACGTGTTCTGCGAAGAGTGCCTCTGCCTGTGGCTGGACCGCGAGCGCACCTGCCCGCTCTGCCGCTCCGTCGCCGCGGACACCCTGCGCTGCTGGAAGGACGGCGCCACCTCCGCTCACTTCCAGGTGTATTAGGGCCGAACGCTGAGGACAGACGCCGGAGGATCAGGGGGCTTCCTGGAACTCACATCCTGCCTCCTGCCTTCCACCGCCGCTGACCCCAAAGCCTGGCCCTGGCCTGGCCCGGCCACCTTGTCCTTCCTCCCCTGTGTGCAGCAAGGTGCGAGCGTCCTTTCCCTGCACGTGGGAAAGCCCTCCCAACTTGGACGTGGGCCCCTGCGCGTGGGAAAGCCCTCCCAACTCAGACGCCGGCCCCGCCCAGGTAGGTCTTCCGTCCCCCTCCAGCTTAAGGACCTGGTACTACGTGAAGTCCCCTCCTGTTGGTCATTTTAACCTAGTACCTAGCCCTGGACGCTGCAGCCCGGGGAGGAGGTGTGAGATCGCAGCGTCCCTGCGGTGCCAGGCAGATTAGAATCACCGTGACGTACGCTCAAAACGCAGGCGCTGGCCCCGAGGTATACCTGCGATGACTTGGCGTCCCACACGCTTAGTGTGCACCAGGCACAGTGTTGAGCGTCCTGTTTGGGTCCCCTCCCGTCCTCCCACCCCGCGATGGAGGTGCTGCTGGCTTCCCCATTGCACAGGTGTGGTCACTCTCCCAGCGTCACCCAGCTGGCAACGGTGGACCGAGCTTCCAACACAGGCCTGGTCCCGCTTCAGAGCTCGAGCTCTTTTTTTTATTTTTATTTTCTAAGAGACAGGGGCTTGCTGTGTTGCCCAAGCTGGATTCGAACTCCCGGGCTCAAGCGGTCCTCCTGCCGTGGCCTGCCGAGTAGCTGGGGCTACAGGCACACGCCAGTGCGCCTGGCAGAGCCTGTGCCTTTGACCACCGTGCTGGCCTGCTGTCACCGTGCTGACGCTCCAGGCGTGGGGCCCAGCACACAAGGTGACTTTGATGCCCGTGCCTGGTCAGGGGCGAGTGGCCCAGGTGCGCGGCGTGTCCGATCCGGCTGTGCTGGGAGCGCGGGCAGCGATCGCCAGCTCCTGGAACGGACTTGTGGCTGGGCTCGCAGAAAAACCTGGCCTTCAGGCGGCTGGTTTCCTGGGTTTGGGCTGGGGTGCTCGGTGCCATTTCGGTGTCGAGAAAGGCCAGCTTCAGCCCAGATGTGGGTGCCACTTGGTCTGCCATCTTTCTATCGTCCCTCCCTCCATTCTGAGTCCTGCTGGCGGCTCCTGTGGACATCGCCGTCTGCCCCGGTAGCCGTCAGAGCAAAGGGACCATGCATGTTGTGGATTCTTCCACGAGCCAGGGCGACGGCATAGAGAGCCATAGCGACCCGCGTTTCCACGATCTCTGTGGCAAACCTACTTCTCCACCTGTGAAGCTCTCCCTGTTGCAAAATCTGGGATGACATGATTCAGGGGATCACACTGAAGCCACCAGAATCTTGCCTGCCACATCCCTGTCCCCAGTGTGTTCTCGTTGTCAGCCCCAGCACAATAGGCTGGCGTCAGCGGCAGCGAGGAGAGAGCAGGCTGTGTGGCTAGCGACCAGATTAGCACGCAAGCTCCGGGAGCATTGGGGTGGCCTCTCTGGCCCCTCGTTCGCAGCCAGCATCAACACGCCCCTCCCCCTCATCGATTCGGGACCCTCGTCCCCCTGCGCCGCCAAGCCAGGACTTTTTCCTTTGCTTTGCATCCCTGGCTCTCTCCTGGTGGCCAGCTAGACAGCTCTTCCAGGGCAATGTGGCATCTTTCGAGCTCTGTTACTATGGCAATGGCCGTGATGTTACAATCCCACTTGTCTGGATAATCAAGCAGGACGGCGGAGCGGAGGGAAGCGGGGCCAGGTGGACGCGGCTGCTCTGTGTTCTCCCCGGCTCGAGGAGGAACCTGAGGGAGGCAATGGGAACTTCTGCAACTGGTTTTTATCAGAAGGAGCAGCCCACCTGCAGACGCCGTCGAGGAGGCAGGCACAAGAAACTGGAGCTGGAGACGCGGATCAAAGCGCGCGCGTGTGGTGGAGCAGCTAGAGCCGTCCGTTGGGAGGCAGACCTGGAATTCTGATTCCAAACTCTGCATCACTTTGGGAAGTCATTTCACCTCCCCGGTAGCCACCTCCAGGGTGGCAAAACCTAGTATATAATCTGCAGGAACCAAGGAAACTAACAATGTAGGATGGCAGTGAATATGCTAATGGTTTTTCCAAGCCACTCCTTCCCCCCCCCAAAAAAAAAATTCTCTAGCATTCTGCAAATAATGAGCCACTTCTCTGATACTATAAAGAATGTCACAGGTAGGGGACAGTCTGGGGCAGGTGGGATGGTTGAGTTTAGGATTTTATTTATTCATGCCTTACCCTCTGGGGGAATGGCCCGAGTGAGGTTTTCTCCTGGGTGGGAGGATTTAACTTCTGCCTCGGGGGCAACAGTGGCTCATGCAGAGTTTTCTCAGCACCAGGCTGTGTGATTTCCCCAACACGAGTCTGAACGCAGCCAGGAGTCCCCACTGGAAAAGAACAATGCCAATTCATAAACAAGACTCATGCAGTATCGGGTTCAGAGCAGCCCGATCTACATATTTTATGGTGCACTCACTCAAGTTCCACAAAGTCCTTAGAAATGGTCCTCTTAATGTAAAAGATCTTGAGAATAATGTAAGGAAATAATAGAGGCAAGCTTTGGACCTGGATGTAATAGTTTCATCACCTCCAAAAGAGAGGTGCCTTAAGGGGACCCTCAGGCTGCTATGACTCGAAACCAGAAGGAGGAAATGGTAAAGCAAGTTCTGGAATCTCAGTACTTTTGCTCTGGGGCAAACAGCTGCCTTCGGTGTTTTTATGTCTCCTTAAGTCCCCTTCTGCCAATAAATCTCATCTGTTGATGCAACTTGTGTTTGTGGTCTTGAGTTTCCTTCCCACTCTTGGAGCCAAGTGGAACTATTTTAGCTGAGATGAGAAGCAGCACTTTGCGGAGTGGGTGGTTATCGCACGTTGGTTTGTGCTAAAGCTGAGCCCGCGGAGGCGCACGTGATTTACCTGTAAATGCTCACATGAAAACCCGGTAAGGGAATAATGAGTGAAACAGAACAGGGAAGGGGAGGACGCCAAGCTCGTGGGCGACGTCTGGTGAAGTCCCAGGCTCGGCCCCATCCCCAGCGAGCTCTGGAGTGTACGTGGCAGCTCAGAGCGTGTTGCACTGGGAGCATTTTGTACTCACAAAGACACACCAGTCTCGCCTTGGCTCTGGGCTGCCGGGGGGACTTCCCAGGCACTTCATGCCGTGCCCTAGGGAGGCTCCAGTGGCTGAGGACAAGCCGCTGAAGGTCTCAGGGACCAGCAAAGCACACAGAGCTGCAGGATGGGAACACAGACCTGGCAAAAGGGACTGTAAAGGTGCTTACCGCAGGCCCAGCGTGGTGGCTCACGCCTGTAATCCTAGCACTCTGGGAGGCCGAGGTGGGCGGATTGCTCAAGGTCAGGAGTTCGAAACCAGCCTGAGCAAGAGCGAGACCCTGTCTCTACTATAAATAGAAATTAATTGGCCAACTAATATATAGAGAAAAAATTAGCCGGGCATGGTGGCGCATGCCTGTAGTCCCAGCTACTCGGGAGGCTGAGGCAGGAGGATCGCTTGAGCCCAGGAGTTTGAGGTTGCTGTGAGCTAGGCTGATGCCACGGCACTCACTCTAGCCTGGGCAACAAAGTGAGATTCTGTTTCAAAAAAAAAAGAAGGTGCTTATCGCGGAGATTAACTATAGGTTGTGTGGAGCCAGAACATGTAGGCTGATTCAAGAAAGGTTTGCCTGATTATGGTAGAGATTTAAATGTAAATTAATAGTGTTAGGTGACAATTTCATGCCTCCCAGGGCAACATGATGACACCAGCCATGAATACATCATCAGGCAGACCTTTTTGGTTGCCGTTGTTAGAAAACCAATTCAAATATGGCTTAAACAAAAAATATATGACTTTATTTGGATCATGGAACAGTATGAGCTTCAGGTACAGCTGGATCCAGGGGCTGTAGTACAGAATAGTGTCTTTCCGTCCTGCAGTTGTTTTCCTTGGAGACAGTTTGATTTTCAGGCAGTTGGGTCTCATGTGGTGATGAGATGACCCCCGGTATCTCTGGGTTTATATTCTATCAGCTTATCAACGCCAGCAAAGAGAGCTTCTGCATTCCAGAAAGTTCCAGCAGGCGTCCTGAGACTATCATTTGTCTCCAAACCAGTTGCTCTAGCCTGTGGGATGTGGGACACTGGCCAGACCTGGGTCAGGTGTCAAGCCCTGGAGGTAGGGATGGAGGTGGTGGGGAGGATGGATCAGCCCTTCTGAGTCACCTGAACTGAAAGTAGAGAAGGGGTGTGTGCCTAAAGGAAAAGAGGAGGTCTACTATCTAAAACACCAACCTGTGCACAACCCACCATTCTCAGGAAGAGACTAGAACCTGGTATCTTGGTATGTCTCAGACCAAGTAGATGCAGAGTGGCCCGTTTGCCCATTGTTGGAGACATGAAACTGTCGGCTTATTAGCTTATCCACATAATGCCTACTGGGCAAGTTCCCCAAACCTGTTGCCCAACCCCCGGGTATGGTTTAGGCCAGTCCTTCCCTTAGGGGAGATTCTAAGGAATTAGAGGAGGGAAGGATGTGTGTGGCCTTCCGCCCCAGGGAAGGTTGGGGTATGCAGGGTCCAGGGGCAGGGAGTCTCCTTCCATTGTGCACCCGGATACTTCCATAATTTTTGAGGACCAGCCTTCCAAAAAGGAAATGAAAACGCAAAGACCTTTGGCTAGAAGTGCACAACCAAGTTTTTAATAAAGTCATTACAAATATGTACAAAGCGTCTCCAAGGTATGAAATTCCTCTTACAAAAGAGCACAACAAACCAACAATGTCAGAACCCAGAACGGAATGTCCCTAAGCTCGTTGCCTCTCTGGCTGGGCCAGGGGCATCCTGGAGGTTCCAGAAACCCCCACAGCCATCCCTGCCACGCACACGGGCTCCTTGGCGCTTAGAATGCAAAAGACTTGGGGAAGGGGGGACATGGGGGTTCAGGTGGAGGAAGGAGGTGAGAAAACCTTCCCACATCCTAGCAAATAAGTCGGACAGGCTCTGTTTGCAAACCAGGCCTTATAGAAACCAGGAACACGGGAGGGAATGAATACATACAGTCCCCAAGGGAACCATCCACCCTGCTGTCGAGTGTCCCCAAGTGTGACACTCTTCCCAGGCTCCCTGCTGGGCCACATGCGGGTGTCTGCCCTTGAGTAGCAGTGCCGTGGGACCCCCGAGTGCAGGGATCCAGGATAGCAGAGCAGACCTCATGATCTTGGGGCCTCCGAGACTCAAGTTCAAATCTTGGCTCAGCCACTCACTATGTGGGTGGCCTTCAGCTACCTTGCTCAGTCTCTCTGAGCCTCCGCTTCCTCAGCTGTCAAATGGGAGTGCTAACAATGTCACCTGCTCCAGTGGGCGCGAGGACGCACCGAGGGGAAGACGTGTAAAGCACTTGGCCGGTACTCGGAAGCGATGAGCACACCTTGACGGGCAGCTTCAACAGTTGCGTAAAGCAGCAAGGACCAGTCTTGTCATGCTGGGCATGAGTCTAGACTGAAGGCCTTTTAAATCACCTTCTGCTAATCGTGTGGCTCTCGGCAAATACTATATAACAAACAATCTGCCAGCGAGGCTTGGGGTCACCATGGTGACCAGACAAATCTGTAAAGAATTGTGAACCAGACTGCAAAAGGGACATTTCATATAGTCTGGCTCCAAGCAGGGCTGCCCCTCTATGATCAATAAGAAAGTCTCATCTGAGATGGATTTGTACAACCTGGCACACAGTAGGTGCTCAATGAATCTGTGTTCCATGGATGAATTAAAATCTTAAAAATAAGTTTTAAAATGACACTGTGACATCAACTTCCTCCCACCATGGAACGTCCAGTTGGTTCCCATGGGACTAGGCCAGAGTGTCTAGCCAGTCCTCCTTACCCTCTAACCGACTTTTGACCCTCTGATTGGCCCAGATTAACTTAAGGGAACCTTCAGAAAAGAAATTGGTGTCAAGCCAGAAGAACAAGACCTGTGTTCCGGTCTCTGCAGCTTGTAATACCAGGTGGGCGGACACTCAAAAAGTCCGCAGTACCCCTAAAAGATACTTGTGTAGGAGATGGGTGGGAGAGGACTCCCCCAATTTCCCAAAAAGGGAGAGTGAAATGTTGTCACTGTCAGAAACATGATGAAAGAGTTAGGAGTCTATAAGATCAGCTACACACATTGTAAAAACAGTGTCACAGTGTCATTTTTCTGTGACAGTATTGTTTAAATCACCTTTTTTGGTTTTTCCATCAAAATAGAAAAGAAAAAAAAATGAGATCACTGGAAAAAGTGGAAAAGAAGTCTCCAGTGTATCCCAATGAAGGAGGTTTGAAAAAAAAAAAAACACCACCAACAGGAATTGGGCTCTAGGCTTGGTGATGCTCATGGCCCAGGACCATGGACAGCAGCCAGTGGAGCTAATGGGCTCCCCAGAGAAACTTGCTACCCAGGCTGCATCTTTGACAACGGCAATAGGAAATGGAACCCCAAATTTGAAAGATCTTATTTGCTTGTGGGGGATCGGGTGGAGGGGGGGGGGTGAGAAGCTTCCAGGCAGGAATGGATCTGATTTGGAATGTTGAAGTCCCTGGAGACTCCAGTCCCAGTATCTCCCAGACCCCCACCCCCTTTGGGAGCGAGCACCTCCATCAGGAACCAGCAGGCAGAATCCCCCCACCTCATTATGCAGTGAGCCACCCAAACGATGATCTCAGCAGCCTCCCCCTGCTTTGCACACATACGCACGCACACACATACACACACACTCTGCTGTCTACTGAAACCTGATATGAGGTCTTTTTTAAAATTTATTTCAAAGCCTCCCTCCCTCTCTCTCTCTCTTTCTCTGTCTCTTCACAGACGCTCTGCAGTGAAGCTAATCAAAATCAATGACTCCTTGGCAGCAGGAGAAAAGGAGAGGAAGAGAGGGAGGGATGTTGCCAGCACTTTGCACACTGTGGAAATATTAAAAAAAAAAAAAACACCACCCCACTATCTCATGCAATCCAAGTAATGCAACAGGAGAGACGGTGGAGGGAGGCAATATATACATACACACACACACACACACACACACACACACACACACACACACATATATATCATGCTTCAATTTCCTAATACAAATGTCCATCAAGAAGTCAAATCTCATATAAAAACAAGCATTAAAAACAACCCCTTGTTAAAAGTCGGGGAAGTGGAGAAGTGCACTCAAACAAATGATGTGCAAGAAAAGGCCAGGATTAGATAAATACACAGTTTCTGATAATACATGAGAATTATGTACAAGGGACTTGGCTGGAAAGCTCTGTTGGGAGGGCATGGGTGCTCAGTTCTCTCAGCAAAGTGGCTTCATTGAAATCGAAATGGCCTGCAATGCCACCCCCAGCACTTGGAGTTTGGATCCTCCAGGGGAAATGTCATAAGCTAGTGGGCAAGTCAGGGTCAAAAAAGGGACCCTCTGACCTTTCACCCTTCGCTTGTGTCTCGGTGGTCAGCAGGACCCCACTGCAATCTTGAAGGTACAGCCTTAAAGAAGCAGAGACCTGGGGTGGCACCCAGCTGTAGTAATGGAACCCCCCCCCCCTCGCTCCCAGAAATCAAGAGGAGCTGGAAAGACTCTAGTCTCTGGCTGGGAAAGTGATTAAATAGAAGCAGAGACTGTATTTCATGCCATTGTAATGAATTGGCCTTCTAAGTTCATGGCTTGGTGGGGATATTGCCCGCTGTTCTCTGCAGCCCCCGCCCAAGTGACTGTCCCCTGCAAACATCAACTGGGGGGGAAGGTGCAAGCAGCAAGGGGAAACAAGTTTTCCAGAAATAAAATAAGCTTTCCTTAGTTCAAAGCTGTGCTCAGGGGCCTTCCTTTGCCTTCAGTCATTCTGGATTGTATTTTTCTTTAGAGGAAAACATAAAGGCATGGATTTGAAACAAAGAAGGAATAAAGAAGCCCAGCTCCCAGCTCGCAGCACCGAGGAGAGGTTGTACGTTCTAAAACACCCGGTTAGTTTCAGCAAAGTAGATGGGAGATGACACCCATGTCAGCCCATGCACCTGAACAACTGCTGACCCTGCTGCTGGCTTCTCAGAACTGCAGGGGTGTCTGCTAACCAGCTCACCGGACCCCCTGTCCACAGGTGCTGGGTGGTGACCTGCAAATCCGGCCATGGAGATGGCCCATCTGAACCTGCAGCCCTGCACCTGTCACCTCGGCTTTGAAAATGGCCGTGTGGGCTACCCTGTGCGGAGGACTGATACCTGTTTATTTAGATTTTTTGTTTTAATGAAAGCAAAAAATAATCCCTGCTCCCTGAAGAGCCTTTGCAGCCAAGTCTCAGTCCAACTTTTTAGCCCTTCTAGAAACTTCTGAAAATAGCTTATCCTGGGGGGAAAAAAAAATCAGACCTCTGTCAATCAGTAAGATGCTGGTGCATTTCATTTAAATGACTCGCTCCCTCCCCCGATGTCCCTCGCTTATAAATCACTCTTGACCAGAATGTAGCCATTTCTTGGCTCTTTAATCCATAAAACCTAAGCCCTGAAATCCCCTTGGGGGGTAGGAGAGGCTGCTGGCTGCACTCTCGGGATACTTTTATGGGATGGAGGAGACAGCAACCGAGTCACGAGTCACGCCATGAGGCCAGCTTTCCCCCTCCTCACCTGCAAGCCAGTCAGTGCTGTCCCCTCCCAGCCTCCCTCCTGGAACCCCAGGCTTGCTCCCAAACACCTCTAGATATTCGTCCCCACACAGAGAAAGAGATTCTCAAGTGGCACTTTTGCAACTCGTCCCTTTAAAAAAAAAAAAAAAAATCCAAAACAGCAAAATAGAAATTTCTCTTGTCCCCTGGCCTTCCAGGTCTGGCAACAGAATACCACGGCAGCACCGGCAAGAAGAGCACGCTTAGCACCAGCAAAATGTAAGGGAAGCACCAGGGACACCAGACTGGTAGGAAAAACAAAACCCCATTTCTCTGGGCGGGACAGTGGGATCTAGCGAGTTATCTAGACAGGCACAGAGAGAGAGGCTAGAGCGCGCCCAGGAGTGGAGGTCTCCCAGACTGCCCCTACAAAATGAGCCCTAAATCCTCACGTTTTCTTTTTCTTTCTGTCATGCCTTTTGCAATTTGACCTCTTAACTCCGCCAGCGTCTCTCTCTCCCCAGGCAGTCGGTTGGTTGCGGCTGCAGAGGCTGATTGCCACCAGTCTTTGCAAATTTCCCAGGTAGACAGCAGGCGATCTCTCTTCTGGTGCCCCAGACATTACAGGGTATCAAAGTTCACGTCGCAAGGTGCAGAGCGGGAAGGGGACTGCGTCCTCGACAAGGCATGCACTGATACGTAATATTCATATTTTTCTTTTTTTTTAAATATATATAGAGAGAGCTGTATGTAAATAGCGTTGGGGTGTCTGTTTCTGCAGCTGGGTTTCCAAAGTCCCACTCTGTGTTTCTGCTATTGCTCCAGGCGCCGCCGCTGTCTTTAGTCTCCACTTCCTTCTCGAAGTGCCAACCGCGCGCGGCCTTTCAAGCTCTGGGCTCCCCCTCTGGAAAACGGGAACCAGCTTTCTCCAAGGACACAGGGTTTTCACCAACCTGCAGAAATAGAGATTTGCATTTTGGTCAGTGCAGACAGCTGCTGGGGGTGACGTCAGCGCAGTGGGCCTCTGCACAGCCAGCGTCCCCCCCATGCCGGGAGGGGGAGGGGCAGGAGGAGCGGGAGGGAGGGAGAGCCACGCATGCAAAGCTGTGGTTTGGGGGGAAAGGTCCCCAAAAGCTAGTCTCGATGCTCCTCCCCCCACTAGCAGCTCTGTCCCTGTAGCAGCCTTCTCTAAATCTCTAAATAGACATTTGTACATATGTATACACACATCTCTCTCTGTTTTCAGACCTAGATATTTACATAGGCGTCTTCTGAGATTAAAAGAAAAAAAAAAAAGAATCTAGAGCCACACTACCTTTTTCCTCCTCCAAATTAGGAACGGGACCATCATCCTAAATCCAGATTCAAGGCCGAGTTGTAGGACAGCTTCTGCTCCCATTCATTCATTCATTCATTCATTCATCCATCTATTCATTCATTCCCAAACATGCCAAGTGCCATACTAGGTGCTACAGATCCAATGACATAATTCTTGCCCTTGAGGGGCTCAGAGCCAGCAGAGGGAGACGGGAAGAAATGGATAATGACAGTCTCATGCAAAGAGCAATCTGGGCAGACGTGGGCTAGGGGAGCCCAGGGGACAGGCAGTTCACGAGGGAGATGGGGAGATGAAGAAGGCTCCTCAGAGAAAGAGGGAGACCCTGTTAAGTACTGAAGGATGCCCGGGAATTAGCCAGGATAAGAAGATGAGACACCCCCAGCTGGGCAGGAAAAACAGCACATACCCAAGCGCATTGAAAACATAACACCCAAAATTCGTACACAAACGTCCTTAGCAGCATTATCTATAATAGCACAAAAGTGGCAACAACCCAAATGTCCATCAACCATCAACCAAATGCGGTATATCCAAACAGTGGAAGATTATTGGATATTATTCCTTTTGGCCATCAAAAGGAATGAAGCACTGGTACTTGCTACAACATGGATAAACCTGAAGACGTTACGCTAAGAAGCCAGGCACCAACGGCCAACAACGGTATGATTCCATTTATATGAAATGTCCACAAGAGACAAACCTTTAGAGACAGAAAGTAGAATGGTGGTTGCCTAGGGCTGGGGGGAATGGGAGGAATTGGGGAAATGAGCACAGGGTTTCTTTTAGGGAGATGAAAATATTCCCAAATGGATTATAGAGATGACTGGTTGCACAACTCTATGAAGATACTAAAAAAAACCATTGACCTTGAAAGAGTGGGCGGATTTCATGGTGACAAGTTAGCAGACTGGAAACATTTCACGTAGTAATCTGAAGCAAGTGGTATAAGAAATAGCCTGTGGGTGATACAAACCAAGGAGAGGAGAGGAAGTGGGAGGGAGAGCACTTTATTACTTCCGGGTTAGAGAATGTCTGAGATATTGAATTGCACGAACTGTACCCTCCGGTTCCCTTGACCTCTGGCTTCCTGCTGGGTTCGACCAATAGGAGACACCACCCACCCCAGGGGAGTGGGTTTGGAGACAGAGCATAAGAACACATGCCATGCTTTACTTTATATACTTTACTTCTGTTATCATTTATTTTATATTATACATGTATAGTTTTTTTATTATTATTATTTTTTTTAGAGACAGGGTCTCACTTTGTTGTCCAGGCTAGAGTGAGTGCCGTGGCGTCAGCCTGGCTCACAGCAACCTCAATCTCCTGGGCTCAGCGATCCTAATGCCTCAGCCTCCCGAGTAGCTGGGACTACAGGCATGCGCCACCATGCCCGGCTAATTTTATATATATATATTAGTTGGCCAATTAATTTCTTTCTATTTATAGTAGAGACGGGGTCTCACTCTTGCTCAGGCTGGTTTCGAACTCCTGACCTCGAGCAATCCGCCCGCCTCGGCCTCCCAGAGTGCTAGGATGACAGGCGTGAGCCACCAGCACCCGGCCTAGTTTTATTATTTTTTTTTAATGAAAAGCAAGTAGTACTTGTACAATTTTTTAAAAGCATTTTAAAGACATCAAGTTCCCCACCCCCCACGAGCCACTGCCCTGGCCCTGGCGTGCGTTCCTTCAAACCTGGCTCATAAAGAACTTTCTCAGATGCTGACTCACAAGCAAAGCTCACAAGTGAAGAGATGCATGACACGCCTTTGAAAAGAAGTCCCTGTTTCCACTTATCACCCACAGTGTGGAGGGGGGAGGCGGGCAGAGGAAGCCCCACAGTCCTGCCTCCCTGGGCTGCAGTGAGGTTGTGCAGAGAAGGCAAAAGCTGCCAACTGTGAACCCCATGCAGGATTAGATGGGGCAGGGGGCTTGTTCCCCTTTTCTGGATGTCTCTGAGAATACCTGGGACTCTTGCATTCCCTCCTAAGAGGCCCCAGCTTTTAATTTTTAAAAATACCTCTTTTTTTGCTCTTGTTATTTGCGCAAGTGATAAGTTACAAACTCAAACAACAGAGAAGACTATAAAAATCAAAGGAAAGCCCCCTTCACTCCACCCCGGAGCCCCACTCCCCTTCCTGGAGGCAGCTGGTGTTAACAGCTGCCCTTGTGGCAGCCCAGAATATTTTCTGTGCATGGACAGACACCCTAGCTTTTTTTCCCTTTTCCTACCATTATGTCCCCAGAGCCCAGCACAATGCTTGGCACAGAGTAGGTACTCAATTCAACATCTGTTGAGTGACAAGGGGACAGAGATGGCAGCTTCTCAGCTCTTCCATCTTTGCTTCCAACAGGTTGATTTTTTTTTTTTTTTTTTTTTTTTGAGACAGAGTCTCACTCTGTTGCCTGGGTTACAGTGCCATGGTGTCAGCCTAGCTCACAGCAACCTCAAATTCCTGGGCTCAGCGATCCTAATGCCTCAGCCTCCCTGGTAGCTGGGACTACAGGCATGTGCCACCATGCCTAGCTAATTTTTTTTTCTATATATATTTTAGTTGGCCAGTTAATTTCTTTCTATTTTTAGTAGAGACAGGGTCTCACTCTTGCTCAGGCTGGTTTCGAACTCCTGACCTTGAGCGATCCACCTGCCTCGGCCTCCCAGAGTGCTAGGATTACAGGCGTGAGCCACCGCGCCAGGTCCAGCAGGTTGATTTTGACCAGGAAGTTCAGACGGTACCAGCAATCCTAGTGCCTGAGACTTGGAGGAAAAGCTCTCCACGCAGAACCCTCCTAGGGGGAGGAAAATTGCTCTGGTCTGTGTTATCCCTTAAATCTCCATCCGTGTAGCTCGTGCTGGCAGGTTAAGAAGCTGGGAACTTAGGAAACTGACAAAGCAGAAGGCTAGGTCTTGGGGGTGTGACATAGGAAGAGGCCATTCGACAGCCTCTGGAAGAAATATTATTTGCTCCCCTTGGCCCAGCCTCTCCTATCAGTGAATATGTATTGAGTACCCAAAGTTTATGCAGAGAGACCCAAGAACTCATAGCTCCTACCCAATGTGAATGTGGGCCTTGGATGTCCAACTAACGTGACTTTCGGAAGGGTACAAGCAACTGAGAGGTGAGAAGAAATAGCTCAGCACAGAATCGGCACCAAATACAATGAGCAGACCCTACAAAAACAATCTTGCGCACACATACCACGTGTTAACATACGCACATTCTTCGACCCAACAATTTCACCTCTAGCGACTTCGCTTTCTGTTTGCAAAGTTGCCCAAACAAGAATGTTCAAAACAGCCTTGTTGACACGCCATCAGAAAGTGGGAAACCATGTCAGTGCCCCCGGGGCAGGTGACCAAAGAAGGAAATCATGGTCCAATCCAAGCCACAGAACACCACGCAGCCATTGAAAAGGATGGTGACAACCTTGCTGTGTTGACATCAGAAGATCTCAATGATCTATTTTTAGTGGGGAGGGGCGGGGAAGCAGGTTACAGAACAGCATGAACAGGATGAGCTCATGTATTTAAAATAAAACACGTGTGTGGGTGGGTGTCTGTGTGCATCGAGGGAACTCATGCATGGGGTGGGGGTCCCCTAAATCAGGGGTCACAAACTGAAACACACTGGGCCCAGGAATGGGTGCCTGGGAGGGGCTGGTGTCACTGGAGTGTTTGTGTCCCACCTAAAGGGGTTTCTGACATACATCTCTAGCCTGTGTCTGCCACATGGGAATTTAGGCTCAGTGTTGTCAGATCTTTTCATTTTTGAAGAAAAACTGGAAACTCAGGCTTCTATATGAAAATGCCTCTTTCTTTCTTTCTTTCTTTCTTTCTTTCTTTCTTTCTTTCTTTCTTTCTTTCTTTCTTTCTTTTTTTTTTTTTTTGAGATGGGGGTCTCACTGTGTTGTCCCGGCTGGTCTCAAACTCCTGGACTCAAGTGATCCTCCTACCTCAGCCTCCCAAGTACCTGGGACTACAGGCACATGCCACCACGCCTGGCTAAAATGCCTGAATTTTAAGTGTTGCAGTAAAAAAAATATATATATGTAAGTCAAACAAAACTCAACTGCAGACCAAACTCAACTGGGAGATCACCTGTTTTCAACCTTTGCTTTAGATACTTAGATACTCTTAGAGTAACCTGGCATTTAAGCTGGCCTCATCTTAACCCTCAGTAACGATCTCTGGGCCTCAGTTTCCCCATCTGTGCAGTGAGGGAAATGGGTTAGGTGGTCTCCAAGTCCTGTCTAGTTTGGGCTGTTTCCAAAACAGTGACCTTTTTGGCTCACAGATCTTTTGAGAATTGGATGCTAACTATGGCTTCTCTCTAAAGTTAGGGAAAGCAGAGGAGTATGAAATCGGCTGATTTTATTGGTCTAGTTTCTGAGCATTCACAAATTCCCTGAGTCCTCTCCCACATTCACCCACTCAGCAGTTAGTGGATGCTCTCTCTGTGCCAGCCACCATGCCCACGTGCTGCAGACAGTCATGGATGAAACAGACATGGTGGTCTGCACCCTTGCCGGACCTGGAGGTTCTCCCAGGCCTGGTGGAGTGGCTTAAGCAGGCCATTGGTGAGTCACAGATTGGGGGAAGCAGGACGAACAACT